GTCTCTACCCAGATCTCTACTAAAGTGAGAAAACATTATTCTGTGCATTTATCTGCTGCCGGGAAAGAACGGCTGGAGGGCGTGGGGCCTGGGTCGGGCGCTCCGTCGGGCGGCCTCGCCACGTCAGCGAGCAGCCAGACCCACGGATGACGATTGGGTCGCCGAGGCCTTTCTTTGCTTTTTTGTTTTTAAAGAGGGTGGTGCGGAGCGGGAACATTGGGAGGAGCCTCGTGGCAAGAGGGAAAGAACCCAGTCGGTGCCGTGCGGGCGTGCGCTGTGTTGGACGGACACCCCGGGTCCTGGCGGCGTCGCCTGGCCAGGCGCCACCCACGCATCCCAGTCCCGTTGCCCCCTACGCTGCCGCCTTGTAAGTGGGTAGTAGGTGACCCCGGGAAGCCTGTGGCTCCAAACACTGGTCCTGGTACCTTGCACGTTACTAGTGTTTTAACTTGCGTCTACGACCTACTGTAGATTATACGTTTTATGTCGCAGCCAATACGTATATAACGTACTCCTGAAATGTTTCCAGAACCATACCTTTGTTATATAATTCACTCTGATATATTGCATTTCGTTTTAAAACACCCTGGAGGCAGCGCACTAAATAATTAATTTCATTATCCACTTAACAGGCCGGCTCCTTTTGACAAATGGAAAAAGTCCAAAGAGATAAAACTGCCTTGTTCAAAGTTACAGTGCAGGGCCGGCCCGTGGCTCACTCGGGAGACTGCACTCACTGGCCGAGCGTGGTGCAGAGCACACCGTGCGGAGCGGAGCGATCAACTTACCGGTCAAAAAAAAAAAAGTTACAGTGCAAATTAGTAGCCTAACTCAGGTCTCGGAACTCCAAGCCAGGCATTCCACATTAAAGGACTCTAGTGCCTGACCTAGACCCAACACCAGCCCAGGGGTCAGCTGGTTCCACCTAATTCTTCAACAGCCCCTCCCTCCGCGTGTTCCAGTTCTGAACACCAGGGGCAGGGCAGGGAAAAATCAAAACCAGGACTCAGAAGAAATTGATAAGCTAAAAGAATAGGCATCAAATCCACAAGCCCAAGATAATTTAAAGCGTCTGAGGTATTATCTGAAAGAAGCAAACCCTAACAGTTTAGTTCTTAAGCTGTCAACAATACTGAAGTACCCAAACCTTTAAGCAAATAATGTTTATTTTTATATTGTTGATACACTTAATATATACGTGGATTCAAGATACAAAATTCATTTACAAGAGTTCACACCTGATGAACATAGTCACATTCCTAGAGAACATTTATCAATGCAATTTTTTTAATACACTGACAACAAAAATCAAATATTCTGTAATCTTGTTATTCAAAAAACATCAAAACAACGTTAAATTTTCCATCCTCTAGTACTTAAGTGCCCTTAGAGTGGTAGGAACTGTATAACAAGAAAACATTGGAAAGCCTACTGAATCCGCTCTGCAGAATCACAGTGTTTACTCTGAAATTCATTTAGTGAAGTAGTGAAAGGCTTGCTATGTTTTATGACAAATCACATCATACAAGAGTCAAAAGTGATCAACTCGAGAAAATGTTTCAAGAATTTCTCAATTTCTAAAATCTGTGAAGTACTGACCATAACACACAAAGCAGAAAAAGGCTGTTGGAAAGGAACAAAACAAAAAACTTTAAGAGAATATATGGCTTAAGCAATTTAGAAACTCAACAGACAAGACTTTTACAATACCACAACGTTCAAGTCAAATGATGTTGACAATAGAATTTTCTCCCTTAATCTAAACTGGTAGTAAATAGCCCCTTCGAAATTTATTCTACTGATACATATAAAAACTAATGAATCTAAACGATTTGCTGTCTAAAATAGCTGAGTTGACAGATTTTGTTCTAAAGTATTAATCCACAATACCTCCGTTTTAATACAAATGAACAACAAGACAATGTCTCAGTGATTACAGTGATTTGTGAATAGTTAGATAGGCATTATTTGCACAACAGATTAGCAGCACTTGGATAAGAATTATTACATGAAAATTATTGTGCTTCAATCTCTTGAGGAGAGCTAATATAACTCTATTATCCCTATAGTGTTACAATCCTATAACATTTCAGTTACAGACAAGCACAATTTTTTTTAAAAAGTATTTCACACCACTAGAAAATCAAGTAATTATATCTTCCAAATGTAATTTCTGCTATAATTTAAACAAGTGCATTTCTGCCTAATTTTCATAATGTAGACAATAGATACACCATTATTTTCAGGGAAAAAAGATCAAACATAAGTTATTTTTAACTCCTATTTGATTATCTTAACCTTTAGTGATGATTTGAATAAAGAAAAGGCTTCTCAACCTTACAATGGAAACTGCTCAGGGAAAATAATAAAGTGGCCTGAAATTATAATAATACTTAGAGCAGAATAAAAAATGATTTATAACTGCTTCATCTGATACAGTGATTAATGAAATCACTATCATGCTGGTGCTACACATTTAAGATGACCTATTTGGATAAATTCTTTCACTTGTAAGCTCTGCTATGAAAATGTTAGGACATTGTATCTGCCTTTCCTATTATCTAAGACCTTTCTACCTCAACTAGAAGAATCCTCCAAAATACAGGACTCTCTGATTGTTGAACAGCAAGGTTTATCAAAAACAAAAAAAGAGCTGAAGAACTAGCCATATGGTCTATGTGGCAAAAGAAATGCATCCAGATAACTATAAAAATCCAGATAACTATAAAAAAAACCATGAAAGTCAAGTTCTGAACTATTTTACCAAGTCAACAGAAGATCTTTTTAATGATAATATTATAAAGAAACGAGTTAAAAAAAAAAACAAAACCATTTTTCAGGAAATAGTAATAAAAAATTCTTATTGCACTAAAACACTTTAAGCACTTTTTTCCTGCAGATTTTTCATACCTCAAGATACATACTTTTAATTTAGAAAAAAAATTAATAGCATGCCAAGGAGAGGGGGAATAAGATTTTTAAAAATACAGTGGTTATTTCTCCATGGTCTGGAAGTATTTACTTTCGGATTATATAGTTATTTCACATTGTACAATGGTTATTCGGACCAATTTGGTGTTTGAGAACATTTATGGTTCAAATTGTAATATTTACAAATCTCAATTCTGAATCATGGACAAGTGGACATTTACAACAGCTTCAAAAGAGAAAAGAATATTAGTGATATAAAAATTTTAATATTGTTTACTACAGACCTATAAGAAGGCTAGCCATAATTCTGTACTTCACTTTGAAAGTGATATAATAACTCAACCTATTAATTTTCATTCCATAAGTCTATGAGAAAAGTAAAAATCTGACACCTGAAATTACCAATGTCTCAATAAACAATATTAGACCAAAGAAGATGATTGTCTTAGGATGCAGACTGGAAGTGTCTACCAAAATCGGAAAAATATTCCCAGTTTATAATCTGTTCTGTGACCCAATTCAGACTTAAGTTTAAGTGAATCTATAGTGTGCAATATAATGTACTGCAAACTACTAAAAAACTCTGAATCTACTGTTCAAATAAGTTTTAAAAAATCACATTGCTGGGCCGGCCCGTGGCTCACTCGGGAGAGTGCGGTGCTGATAACACCAAGGCCACGGGTTCGGATCCCATATAGGAATGGCCAGTTAGCTCAATGGGTGAGCATGGTGCTGACAACACCAAGTCAAGGGTTAAGATCCCCTTACCGGTCATCTTTTAAAAAAAAAAAGAAAATCACATTGCTTACAGTAGCCTGATAACTAATTTAAAAAATAATTTTAAAAACCACAAAAGAAATTAACAAAAATATTTTAAAACTAAGAAATGGTGCTTCAATCAGTGATTAACAATGTTATGTAAAAATGGAATTCTTGTCAAAAGTCAATTAAACCAAACTAATAAGTGAAAAATACCAATTTTAGTTTAAGAAAACATTTCATGTTTACAAAATTCCAAAGGAAATATTTCTATGGCACCAACAAATTAGTTATACTTAATTTAGTACATTTATCTTTCCCCAATTAAAAGGGCATATACACTGTACATTATCCTGACACCATTCCTGTCAATAGGTGATTGATTCCATTCACACATAAATTATTTTCCCTTAAACATAAGGCATGCTTAAAAAAGTCTTTGTGTTCAAAACTCAGTGAAAGTGGCTGGCCGGTTAGCTCACTTGAGAGAGTGTGGAGCTGGTAACACCAATGTCATGGGTTTGGATCCCCGTACAGGCCAGTAACCCCCCCCCCGCCCCCCCAAAAAAAACCACAGTGAAGCAGGACCATGGTGTAATATGTTTTCAAATTCTAGGAAGATGAATAGCTTTGGGGTTTTTTGTTTGTTTGTTTGTTGTTGTTCTAAGTAAAATGGTCCCAGTATCCAGGAAAGACCGGGAGGTGTGGCAGGAGTAGGTATGAATTATCAGTGTTTAAGGGTGCAGGAGAATGGGGGGAAGAGCTCAGTTTTCCAAGCAATCTTTTCAAATGCAAAGTTACTGGGTCTGTTAGGGTCAGCGGTCGTATTCCTAATGTCACTCTAATGCATTGTACTTCTCATTGCTGCTACTCTCTTTAATATCCACAATGAGCCTGAGTCAGTTCCATGAACATCAAATAGCATAATACCTGCTCTGCTAACTCTCCAATTGCAAAAAACTAAATTACTAAAATAACAGAACATCAGATCCTATGGATGTTTTCATTGATTTTTCAGAAAGAATATATTACCAAATTTTAGTACTTATTGAAGAAAAAGGCTATTATAACTTTATTTTAAAATG